TTGACACCAAACATGGCGCTTTTCAATCAGTTTCTTCTGTCAAGCCACCCCATCAAGAAAAACAAAGCTGTAAGACTGATGAGAGTTTGCAAAATGCTTGTTGTGAACCAGAACCACAGACTCTGGTATCTTTGGCTGCTTCTCACAATTACTTTGCTCTTACAACAGAGCAAGGTGATAATGAAGTTGTAAAGTCTAACCGGTCTAACTTCTTGATAGGCACTGACAGCACATCTCTGATGGGTTCTCTTCAAAGCCTTGTTAATTATGACAGCTCAGAAGACTCTGAATTAGAATCAGATGGAAAAGACTGCTTGCTAAACATAAAGCAGGTGCCTTTAAATAATGAGGGTGAAATGGGGATAAGGGAAGCTGGTTGCAGCTACATGGATGGTGAACAGAATACACTCAAGGCTGAAGTGCTGCCTGTGAAACAAAAGGGATCTAATGCCTTATCCAGTGTGACTTGTATGGCATCTTTGGATAATGTCATTCCCCAAAGGATAATGCTTTACAAATCGACAAAATGTTTGGAAGAACTGCAGAAAGCTATCTCTAGGTTGCAAAGAAGGGATCTTTTCCCATATAATCCGTCTGCATTGTTGAAACTACTGAGCCACATTGAGCATATCAATAAGAACATGAATCCACAATAATCCAAAGATGTTTTCTAGTGGCTTTTTTACCTAGTGCACATGGAAATGTTTCCATGAGATGAATGGCTTCTGAAGCTCATGCCTCTTGAACCTGGGAGTGTATTACCCTGAAACAGGATAAACATGTTATTGGTTGACACCTTAAAAATCTGCTGTTGCAGTCAGTGCTATGACCTTAGGGTCCCAGGCTTATTCATGGTATGTATGCCAGCGTATGGTATACAAGAACTAATTGTTAGGTATTCAAAAATTGATAATAAATGACTGATGTGAAAGCTTATCAACAATAGATGATACTTAAAGTATTGTCAATTATACTTAATGTCATTCTATATGAAGTCATCGCCAGATTGGCGGTGATTCATGGACTACAATGAAACATTAATGTGACACTTGACTGCTTAGAGGTTGAGCTAAATAAAATATTTCAGCTGGGGACAGTTTTGGTGTTAATACTGTGTGTTCTATGTTGGTGCTTTGCTCTGAGTGGGGTATCTCAGTTCAGGAGTGCTATTGCAATCATAATAATCCATGCCACACTTACTGGCTGAAGTGCTTAACTGATGTCTAGGGTGCACTTTTTTTAGCTTTTAGTGTTTGGCTAATTCAATGAGCAGTGTTATCACTTCACTGAAATATGAATTTAGTTTTTCTTAATATTTTATGATATATTCTTTTAACTGAAAGGTAGATGTGAGACTATCTTGGATCATGTGTTGCCTGTTTATAGTACACTTTAATGGAATTTTGTAGCTAAAATCAAGCTTAGGTAATGCAGAAGTGAAATTCTAACAATTCCTTGCTTCCATTATGTATTTTATGTAAGTGTAGAGTATATATACTTAGTTCTTTTAAATCAAAAACAGGTAACCAGAAATTGAGTGTCTGCAGTGCAATGATGTTGAATTCTTACCCTTACATGTTTTATTAGATCTAATTTGAATAACCTGAAAAATGTCTAAGAATTTGCTTGAGGAGAGTTGGTTTGGAGCAGGATCCAAACCAGTTGAGCACACTTAGCAGGAAGCCACCTAATGATACACTTAATATGCAGCTTGTAGTGGTCTTAACAAAGGATAGTCCCTGACAACAGGGACTACTGTAAAAATCTCAGACCTCATCAAAACTGTAAGAAGCAGTTTTCCCTTTAGGATCATCTCTTGAAGGTAAGTGCTCTTATTCTGATTGAGAGCCAAGTAAGTTCTGTCTTCCTTTTAAAACCTATTCAGTGTTAAATTAGATAGTTAAGAACAGTCTCTGGAGCAGGTGACTAACTCCCAAATCTCAGTGGCCATCTTCTAGATTAGTTTTGAGCTCTGAGCTAGTGAATCTACTGGGAGGGCAAGAAAAGGAGGTGAAGCTTGTGGGATACTTTAGCTGGAAATTACAGTGCTCTCCAGAGACACTCAAATGGTATGACTTCTCAGATGGGAAGGTTTGAACCTTAGGCTTGCTCTTTCAGTATGATAGCTGTAGTCACTTGGCAGCTGCATAGGAAAGAGCGGTCCCCTTGACTGACATGTAGATGTGAATATTCTGTGTGTGTTGTGCTTTGGTTTCCTGAGAGAACTTTAGTGCATAGGAGTGGGTGAGAATATCAATGAGTGTAAACTTTTCCAGTCATGCTTATAGTTGCTTTAGTTAAAAACTAAACTCTGAGTAGTCCAGGGCAAAAGAATTCCTGTTTACTGTTCGAACTTGGTTATGCTCTGCATGCCGAGTTGCTCGTTTCTGTCACTAAAATGCCTCTGGGTGTGTTCAAAGATGCAACTCTAGACTACTTGGGAACTTTTCAGTTCAAACATGGGAAGTGCCTTTGGCAAGGCAGCTGAGCAAGAGTTTCTCAAGATAACAATTTTAAACACCGGTAGGATTTCAGTGTAATCCTTTCCCACTACCCTCACTTCTTTTCTAATCTAGGCTGTGCTGAGCAGTTTATTTTAACTGAGTAACTTCATTGTTTTCACTGAACATAATCATGTTCAACATTTCTAGGTGTATACTTTGCCAGCTGGAAGTATCTAAATTACAACAGTATTTCTCAGACACTAAGATAAGCAGGGTGGGAAAGGTAGGATGGGGAAGTAATTTCCGTTTGTTAAGTGCTGGTCTTGTTTGCCAGTGGTTATTACAACTATAAAACCTTTCTTGAAGTGAAAGTTTAGACATCTCAGAACAGTGTGTAGAATTTAGCAAAAAGTGTAGGAGCCATAACTTGATTTCTGAGCACATCAAATCCAAAGACAGCCCAACTGTATTTAATTCTTACAAGCATGAAGTTGATTGTGTGCCCGGTTGGTTATTAGAAGTGATCATTCCCACATGTTTTACTTCTCAGAAAACCATTCTTTTAATTCTCAGAAAATTTTAGTGGTAAAAATGGGTAAATGTGGTTTGTATCTGGCAACTGGATACATTAATGTGTTGATATTTACCATTTATGAACTGTAGGACCTGAGATGGACTAAAACTGATGTGAGTCAACTTTATCACACTCAAAATGAGTGTGAGCAGTGCAGGTAGCTCATAGGTCTATGGCTATATTCAAAAAGTCTAGCACAAAAAAAAAACAAAACGAAAACACCTTGCAAAAGAATTTGTGTTTTAAACCACTGATGAGTCCATAGGATGGTTTTGTTTGGTTGGTTTTTGTTGTTTTTTTTTATTTGTTTTTACTGTCTAAAAGTACAGGCAGAGCTGTAACTTCAGTTGCTAGAGCAGTTTAACTCAGCTGCAGAGCCTATTACCAATGTTAAATTAGAGCTTAAGAAGTAGGTCAGTTATTGCTAGGAGGTTGATGTGCCTTACCTTTTAATATTGATATCTAACTTTTCTTGTGTTGTTTGAAAGCAAGACACAGAACAAAGCAGGTGGCCTATCTGGAGACAGTTTTCTATCTGAGGAATTACCCTGAAACATCCACAGTCTCACTTTATGTCTGTGCAGTTGCTTTGAGGAGTTTACCTTCAACATCAATAGAATAAGTGGTTTTAAGGAGGTAAGCAGTTAGCACAAGAAGTTACATACAGGATATGCTTTTTAAAAAGGAGTATTTTTGAACTTAAATATTTGTAGAGCTTGATTGCAATTACAGCTTGATTGCAATTACTCTTTCATGCGTGTGGTTTTTCAGACTGGGTTTCCTTTAATATTTTTGACTGCTTTCCATTTTAGTTTTAAGACTTGTAATACATGTTTTGATCCTGTAATACAATAATAAGAACCAACGTGGAGAATTTCTATACTTGCGATACTCTCGTAAAGCTAATGCTTCCATCTTGCACTTGTGTTCTCCGTGAATGGGTAAAGGCTGCTGCTCTGAGAGTCTTCTGCTGGTATAATCAAGCAACATTTGCATTTGTCTTGTGTGCAAGTTTTCCAAATTGTTGAGATTCATTTTCATGCAGTTGTTAAACCAGTGCTTCCAGCCCCAAGGATCAACAAGCCATCTCTTTTTTTTAATCTTATATTATTTGAACTGTTGGAAAGGAATTAAAAAGCTTTGACTGAATTGGTTGAACTAATTGTTAAATCCCTAGTGTTGCTGCCAGAAGAGTTTGTGTATCAGTCTTATGACTATCCGAAGGTACTCATGGCACACAGGAGTGCTATTTGAGTGAATTAGCAGTGCTTATTTGGAGCGGAAAGGGTGAATTATACAAGTCAATCCTTAGATACAGTTGTTCTTGCTAAGATTTTGAGTAGCGTGCTAGTTTTAACACATTGCTTGCTATAAATGGGAGCCACCAAAGTTAGTCTTGCTAAATTTGCCTTCTCAAATGTATTAGAACATACTTAGTGAAAGTACCTTGTATAGACATGCAGTTCTATGTTAATTGCTCTAGTGTTTCTGCTTACTATAAAGGTGAGTTTGACAAATATATGTAAGTTGATGCTAAGTCAAGAGGAATCACCTAGGATAATTTAAAAACAAATCAAACTGGGATTTTTGCATAAAGAATGCTGACCAAACAGTGAATAGATGAGTTCTTCACTGCATCACATACATCTCTGTGCCTCTGGATATGTAAGCATTCTTAATTGCTGCCCTGGAGGCTTATTGATACACTGGATATTCAGTGTTTAAATAGAATGCACCTAGGAGTTTGTAACTACTTGAAAGAGAGCATTATTATGATATTTATATCCCTCAGTAGTTACTTGTGTGAGACAAATTGGTTAGAAGGCAGTCCCCAGGTAGTACCAGTGCCTTTTCCTGGAGCCGTTTTCCTAAGGCATGTTTGAAGCCTGTTAATAATCCTGTTCTCTGCATTTTAGTGAGGTGATGGCAGCTTGGGTCAGCAGTGGCAAGTGTTCCTTCACTTCTCTCCACTGCCTTGACATCCCCTTTTTGTGCAGTTGTCATCTGCCTTCTTGTTATTAAGGCCCAGATTCTCAAAGAACTGAGTTTTCTAATTCTTATTAAATTCATGAGAACCAAGTTCTGAAACAATAATTGAAAAAGACTTGAGCATTTTGAAGATTTCAGCCTATGTGTTCACATCGTGTGTTCCTGATTTAGCCCTGTGGTGACATTCATGTACAATAAATACTTGTTACCTTTATGCTTGCTCTGTTCAAACTCAGGTGTTTAATCGTCAATTATGACAGATGGCATTATTAATTAGAATGAACCTCTCCCATACAGGGGGAGATTAAGTAAGATTATGAATCAGGTCATACTTCCTAGTTGGAAAGGTATTTAGAAGAAAGCTTTTTGAGAGATTGTAAATGGACTTCATCCCTTTTATGTAGGGGAAAATTGCTGCATCAGGAGAAGACACAAAATCATGTGAAGAAGAGGACCTTAGCCCTGCAGATTGCAAGATTGAGTTGTGTATTGATGTTCTTGAACATATGACTTGGGAATGATTAATTTTCAGTTATTTTTTGATTCTTGAGGAGCAGGAAGTATAGAAATATCAAGCTTTTTTACCTTAATCTTGAAGGAATGCTGGGTGGCAAGCAATGGGTTTCACTGGTGGTGAAAAGAGAATTCAGAGTCCAAATTACATAATTATTATTAATTACTATTGCTATTATATTAAATAAAGCAAATTCCTATTTTGTATATGCATACAGCTGAGATTTGATCAATTGTCTGCCATTGAGATAGAACCATTTAGCAGAACTGACCAGGTACTCATAGACAATATTCAGAACATTTATCTGTCAGCTCCCTGGATGAATTTAATTTCATTTTATTTCACAGCAGAAAACAAACCAAACCCTTAGGTTTTGGAGGTTTCTGTTTTGTTTGTGAGGGGGAATATGAGTTGGGTTCTGTTTGGGTTTTTTTTCCCCTGCAAATGCCATTCTACGCAGCGGCTTTGATTCTGGAAGTGTTAAGGTTTAATACAGTCTTGAAGGTTTGCCAAGGGGGTTTTCTCTACCGAGAAAGTTGACTAATACTATAATCTTTCTTATGTAACTGCTTAAAACTCAAGTGAGAGCTCTTGTCCAGTGTGTAGATTCACTGTCATTTAATATATGTATTTGTCTAGAAAACGGAAGAAAGCAAATGTATGAAGTTTTCTTGGTTTGTTCTAATAGTTTTTTTCCCCACTGAAAACTTGTATGTAATTTCCAGTGATATGTGAAATAATTCTTTGCGTCAAACACATGCCTCCATTATCTAGTTGTATTTAACTGCTGATTGAGTAGGTTCTGTACTGCGTGCAAGGAGTAGTAACACTTAGATTTTTATCTCATTTTGTTTCGTAGTGAGATGTACAGACTGAGGTGCTTCTGGTTTTCTTCTCTGCAGCATTGAAATTTAAGTTCCCTGAAAGATAAAGTCCTATGAAATTGCAGCCATAATTGAAAGGTCAGTGGGCAGCTTTGATCAAGAGGGTATGGTTAGCTTAGTATTTACCATGCAATATCTTTAATCTTGTAATAGATTTCTACATTGGTGGTGAGGATACCTAATGAATGCTCCTCAAAAAGCGTGTAAAAAGATTTTTTTTCCCATCTTTTCTGTAGGAGCCCCACATTTGCTCCAGTTAAATAAATGTGCTTTTTTGTAATTTAGTGTGACAGTGAAGAAATCATGGATTGAGGCATAAGACAGGTGTTTTCTGCCAATTACCTACTACATTACTTGCCCTATTAGCCAAGTGATATATGAATCAGCTTGCTCTAGGCTTTCCTAATTGGCAGAGTATACCTAATGTTCTGCTGAGTTTGTACTGGTGGTTCAGATGTGGGAAAGCATGGAGATAATTTAAAGCAACAGCAAAGCCTTAATACTACGTTTCTGAAATAATCCTTCACGTTTAATACTGCTTTGGTGCATCAGTTTATTGAGTACCGCTCCCAGTTTTATGGAAGGACCAAAGATTTGCCATAGCTGCAAAATAGAATGCCTCAAAAAGAAAAAAAAAAAAAAAAAGGAGAAAAAATTGGTATATGAACAAATCCAAACCTTTCTCTGAATGAAGGTAAATGAGCTGGATCCAAATATTGCCTGGGTCACTTCTTTTATTGCAGTCTTTCGGGTTGTGATGAGAGGTTCAGCATACTCAAAAAGAGATCTGCGCTGGCCTTATTTTCCAGCCCTCTCCACTGTTACTTATAGAGATACCATCTATGATTTGGGAAGTCTGTGAGCCCCAAACTACTGAAGGTTGGGGGTATCATCAGTTGCTATTTTGTCTGTATTATGTTCTTGCACTCTTCTGTAGCCAACTACTATGAGCTTCCTTCAGACACAGTATGCTGGGTGAGGTGAGCCTTTGGTTCAACTTTGACATGTCTGTTCTTATTTCTTGGTTTGCTGTTTGCTGACTGCAAGCAGGAAGAATGGGCTAATAAGAGGCTCTCTGCTCTTGGCTTGTCAGTGAGGTTCTCTCCTTTCTTTTGAACAACGTCAAGGTGTGCTGCCCACCAGAATACTAAGTAATGCCCAAACTTCTGAAGGCTGTTACTATTTGAAACTGGGGAGAGCTGCTGAGGAATGACTTACAGCATTACTCCTTAGCCACTGGAATTACAATAACTAAAAAAGCACGAAGGGTTAAGGAAAATAGATGTGTTTGTGTGGCATTTCTAACCAAACATGCACTTAGTGTATATTTCCCTCTGCTTTAGGACTTTTTTTTAAATTCCACTTTCAATCTTCTGAGGAACTGAAACACTTTCTGTAAAACATTTAGATGATTGAGACTGGAAGTGTTCCTGAGGCTGGCCAATAGAAGCAGAAACCTTTCTCTACCTTTATTTGAAAACCCATACTGCATTTAATAATACATCTAAAAATGTCAGTGTCAATTGATGCATTTGGCCTTTCCTGTTGTGCACCATCAGCAGGCGCAGCATCCTCCTGTGTGTGGAGAGCAATAGGAGTTGAGATGAATTCTCATCATACAACCAAGTACCATGTGACCTCAAACGTTTCTTCATCTGCTGTGTTGAAACAAGCAGAGGGAAGGCGCTTGGCGTTGCTACTCCCGAGTTTCACCAGGTAGATCCATATGACATCAGGATTGCCTTCAGTCAGAAATCTTGAAGTGCAGCTTTGCTGGGTGGGTCTCTGAAGAATTTGAAAGAGTTTTGTAGATAGGGCGTGTTTACCTTTGTCAAAGTAGTGAGTGTAATGCCTCTTCCCTGCTAATGTGCTTATGTTCTCTTGGACTGCAACATCATAAAGGTAAGAATGCCTTTTTCTTTCCTTTTTTTTCTGTTCTGGGGTGGTGTTTTTTTTTCCCCCTCCGCCCTACATCTCATTTATGTTTGGCAGCGTTAGCATGTGCTGATCTAACACTGCCTGTTCTGTAAGGGAAGATTAGAAGCGGCTATTGTGATAGTCTTCAGATAAAGAGTGGAATAGGTGCTAATGAGATTTTATATGTTGTGGCTAAGTATTCCAACCTTTGAGAACTGCTTTTTATTTTAGAGAAAAGTAGTACAGGTTACAGTAGTAGTTTTGCTCTTCTTCTTGTATCATTATTCTGTTAAGTGCTTGTAAAAGCACTGCTTTCTGAAATGGAAGGGAGGAAAATTTATTAACAGGAGAAATAAAGTTAGTTAATGATGTAAATGTGATTGAAAAAACCCTCCCACTTTTGCATTTAAATAGCTTGAAAAAGCTAATTCTAATTTTGTTCTGCTAAATGCTAAGAAAAAATGTTCTGTAAGAAATTAGGTCTAGCAGGTTTTTTATAAGACTTACCTGTTGAAGATCAGAAGAAGCTAGTGCTATAAATAACACATTTAAACAAGCTGCCAGACAGAGTTCTTTCATAGTAATGTTGTAACATTCAGATGGAGGAACCCTGTTCCTGTTTTCCCCTCTTTTTTTTGTACTGTATAGCTATTTTTAGCTAGCTTCCTAGTTTGGTCATGTCTTCAGCTGGGCTGCCATTGTTGGAGAAGAGGCTATGCTGGTTCTTTAGCTGAAGTTCTCTCTCTTGCATTTGTTAGGACATGAAAAGGCTGTCAAACAGTAGCTGAAATAATGAAATACCAGTTCTGTTCTGGCTCCTCCTGTGGTTGGCTTTGTGGGTGGAGGATGTCTGGGCAGGTTAAACTGCAAAAGAGGGGATAACCAACAGGAGGAGAACTAAGAACAGTGGAGCACAACAGACTTGGTTGGATGGCTGGTTCAGGGTGGTGGAGAGATCATTAATGTACAAGCTTGAGCCACTGTATATACATGAGCTGAAGACTCTGTTTTGAGAAGCTTCAGAAAGGACAGTTTTCCAGAGTACAAATGCACCAGCCCCATCCCTTTCATTGCCTCCCAAGGGCCAATTTAAAAACCTTGAGTCATGTGCAGGTGGAGAAGCCAAAAACCTTTGCCTCTGCATCTTCAGGTCCTCCGTCTAGTTCCTTACTATTCTGCTGTCTTCCTGTGGTTTGTGGTAGTTGTACTTCTCATAATGTGCTTATCCTGGTCACTGTGTACCCAAATGCTGCTCTGTTCTTCTCTACCCTTAACACTTGTCTTAAATAAGTGACCAAGAAGGCTCGCAACTCTGGTAAAATCTCTATTAAATAACTTAGCATTTTAAGTTAGACTTTAGGTTTTTATTTAAAAATTTAGGTAAGCTACAGAAATGAGCATTTTTGCATCTTTTCCCAGTAGTAATAATTTGAAGAAAAAAATCATACTTAAATTCTGACAAGTGTTACTAATAAGTTCCTGAAGCAACTGGTGGTGTCCTTCTAGGTCTTTTCAAATGATTTACTAATGTAAGCTTCTCTTAAGAACTTGTATTTTGGATGGGGCTTTTTTTTCTCTTTTCCCCAAAGAACTATTTTTTTTACCTCAAAATTAGTGCAGATATTTGAGTTATTTCATAGCTTCTTATCCACCTCTCTCAATGTCACAGATTTTTAAAGCTTAAAAGCACTGTAACTGTACCATGTGAGAACTGTATTTCACTTTCCTTAGCTGCCTGCGATCAGCTAAAACCATTTTAGCTGCTCAAAAATGATTTACCTTTAAGTAGAGAGAGCATGGTAACTTCAACCCAGAAAATGAATGATTTCAAACAGGTCTTGCTCTCTGTTTCCCCCCCAGAGAGCAGGGTAAAATATAAAACTCACTTGCCACCTTAATTGAGATTTATTCAAAGTGCTATTTCAGCCTGCTACAATATAGGACCCAAGTTACAAGGTAATGTGATAGAATAGTAAAAGAAGTAAAATACTCTAATTGCCCTATAACCAGGCACTTAAACTATTTACAGTTGAGATTTGCACAAGCTGGGGAGTAAATCTGAAGTTAAAGGTCTCAAAGCAATCTTAATTCAGCTGGTTTATGTGTATGGAGTATTTCAGTGTTTCATCATAAGAATGTCTACGTTCAACAGCTCTTTTATTCCATGCTGCCACTGGTTGTGTGTGTAGGCTTGATAAGATGCCATTCACACTGTGGCTTGGGTTCTGCAGAATTCAGCTGAACTGTGTTCTCACTTCTGGACAGACCAGATGCAACAAGATAGTAGCATCAATCCAATATTCTTCACTCAGTTTACTTTTCCTCCACAAACCGTGGTTCAAACCCATTGTGCCAGTTAGGTGCAAAACACTGCTTGGTCAAATACAAAAAGCAGTGCATAGAAGCAGGAGCAAGTGATGTTTTCAGCTGTCAGATACCTACAAATAACAACCAATGCCTGAATAAATGGGTTCGTGTGGAAGAAAACAGTGGAGAGCAGGGTTGCTCTTACTGCCTTGGGGACTAATAATTCTTCAGCATAAAAAATTCAGTGGAGAAGTTAATCTGGTGTCACATTCTGCGAGTTCCCAAACTTCTAAGTATTTCCAGAAGATGGATAAAGCAGCAGTTGCACATTGGAGAGTCTGTATGACACAGTATCAGCTGTCAACACATGCACAGATACTAAACTATTCGCAAGTTGGGGTTCGTACATAGCAGGGGGAGGGAGGTGTTAGATTTTACTAAAACTCACTTTTGTGTAGTATTGGGATTTTCTTAAAGGTATCTTCTGCATAGTGCTGTTGCTATCCTCAGTAGGAAGAATGTTCTTTACCTTTAGCAATAAAATGAGGGTCCCATATTTTTCACCCGTCTCATGATGGTGATTGCAGTTGGGATTCTTTAAACAATGTGCTATTTTTAGCAGATAATGAATATCCTTTTGAAATGTGTGTGTTAGCTGTTGCATATATTGCTAAGTCTTAAGCAAAACCAAACCCTGTGATACAGTGGATCTGATCCTTATTTACTCTTTTAAACCACTTTGATTTAATGTTGATGATTAACAGCCTGGAATAGCTTTCCTATCTCTTCTGATATCTGTGAGACTTGATTTTTTTCCTAACAGTTGCTGCACCAGCTTTACCAGTTCTACCAAGTGATGAAAGAAATAGGAGTATTGTATTATTCTTGCTCTTTCCTGATTTCATTCTTTCCCTGCTACACTGGAGTCACACTGAGTAGATAGTCTAGTGAGATGCTTAGAGAAACGAAGGTTTCTTTCACTTGCATATTTGTATTAGTGGTCCACTGGGTTTTCTGATAAGGATAGGAAATCCTCCTTGACCCATCCTTCGCACCTGGATATCACCTTCTCTTAGTTCTGGTTTTGGAAATGCAGTTTTTTGCCTTTTGTGTGGAAGACACGATCGAGGCCTTGGCTCTGTTTCTTTGTATTCATCCCACAGACTGCAGCAGCCAGAAATTCCACTTCAAAGCAGCTCCTGAATTTGTTTGTCAAAATGTAACCACACGTAGCTTTTGTCAAACCAAAACTTGCCCTTTTTTGCTTAACAGCATTTGAAATATGAAATCTTGGTTTTTAATTGAATAGATCAAGGATCCAAGGACCAGAAGTTTGAAAGAAACTTCACATTGGTACTTCCCAACTGTGTAGGCTTTCGTTTAATTATAAAGGATGCAGTTCCTGAAGTAATCATTCCTGATTTTCTTGTTTTAAAGTAGCCCATTTAAAATTAGATTAGGCAACAGAGGAGATCCTTAGCAAGGAAGAGATTTCTTTACTTGAAGTATTGAATTTCCAAGATGCAGGGGATCTGTCCAGGTTTCTAAAATACCTGTATTTGATTGTTAGACTGACTTTCAGGCCCTTCAGGAAAAGAGCAATGATTCCAGTTTTGTCAGTGAAAATAATATTCTTGGTGCTGGTGAAAGGATAGGAATTTGGGAAGAAGCAGGGAGGTTTCACCCTAGGTTGAGCAAAATATGGGTCACTCAGCGGTGGTCATTTCCCATTCCTGCTTGCTTGGTGCTGTAAAGAAGGAGGTTCTGAGCTCACCACTCCTAGCACTAGGAGGTTCAGGGTGGGTAGGCTTTCAGTGTTCTTGTTAGAGTTGTTTCCAAACCAGGACAAGGTGGGCCTTTGCATCTGCTGTCCCCTATTTGGAAGTTGCGTTTGGGAAGAGAGAGTAACAGCTTCAGAGTTTATGCAAGCCAGAAAGATCAGCTGCCTTTGAAAACCAGTATCTGTAGCCTAATGCCAGCACTGGAACTGGTTATCCCCACTTGTGGTTACACTGGAACACATGCTTGCGTGTGGTAACTGGCTCCTGACAAAAGTTGGGTCATAGTTTTACATGGATCCGCTAAGGAAATGAACCTGGGTTCCAGGGGCTGCAGTTGCAGCGCATCTCAGAGGTGCCTGTTGCAAAACACTCCACTCACCCAAGTGATAAGAAACTGGTTCTCCCATTTCCCACCCAGATTTCAGGCAGTATATGAGGAAATGCCCATCTACCTCACCATCCCTGCAGTATATGAGGAAATGCCCATCTACCTCACCATCCCTGCAGTATATGAGGAAATGCCCATCTACCTCACCATCCCTGCTCATAGCCCCTGGGTGGCAGACAGGACAAGACAGACCTTTCCTCAAGAGGATGTGTGGTGGCTGCCTGCCCTTTCCCACTCACACTATGGAGGCTTCTGTTGAGTGTCAGCTTCCTTCCCATACACAAAAACATACAACGTACATGTGGGATATTTCTTAGCAAGCTGAGAGGGCCACAGCTTGTTTGTAGCATAGGAGAAGAGAGCTTTGCTTGTGTAAAATATATGTGACAAAACAGTACTTAAAGGGTTCCTATGTTTCAGGATATCCGTGATTTAAGGAGGGATTAAACTACTTAATCGCACAGCCACAGCTTCAGCCATGTAAGAGCAGAAAGAAACTGCAAAATACTCAGGTCATTGCTGCCCAGATGTGTTTGAAGTGAATTCCACAACTTGCAGGTGCTCTAGGAACCTCATGGTGAGAACTGAAGCTGAAGGGAGACAGGAGAACATCCCAACTACTTGAACAGCTGCTGTTACGAAGATGGAAATCTCTGTTACAAGATGGAAATCTCTAAGATTGCTTGGGGAATGGCCTGATTTACTGTAGTGAAAACTTAAGTTAGATGTAGGGTGAAGATCCAGTTTAAGAGTAATGAAACGTAAGAATAGGCTGCAGACATGTCAACTGATTTCTAAGAATTACTTGGACAATGTTCATCAGTGATGGTCTGATCCTTTTGTGTTCCAGGCAAGACCTGGTACAAATACAAGGGATCACAGGAGCAAGACTTTTGGAGAACCCACCCTTCTATGAGTCTCTTTGATGTTTGTCAGGATTTTTACTGAAATCTGTGGACTCAGGATCAGACCCCCAAATCCCATAATTCCTTTAAATTTTAGGGTTAAGCATGTGCTTATGATCTTGCTTTAGTAGAGATGTATTAACCAGTTTAAGACCTGAAAGGTCTTAAGGTCACTTGATATCCATGTGTGGAAGGAACACATGAATTAGCGAGATCCCAAGAATCTGATATGAAAATATGCACTACTCTTTGCTTTTAGGGTTAGGTGTTCTGGGTGCATATTCAGTTATGAATCCCTACAACATGTCTCACCCTAATTCAACTGTTAGTGTTTTTTCCACTGTGTTATATTAGACTGGCCTATTTTTATTACAGCTACAGTTTGTGATAGTTTGCAATGCACAGTTGAGTTTAAAAACACAGATATATTAGGAAGCAGAACTGTGTAATGAGTCTCTCCCCTGGTCTTCTAGGGCAGTTTGCAAGACTTTCTGTCTGACCTAAAATGTTGTATTTCAAAGCCCTGCTTCATTATCATGGCGCCTGGTAGCTGTAGTTAAGGGTCTGTTAGGAGCCCCATTATAAATCCCTACTTCCAGGAGTTTATAATTCAGCAGTAAAAACTTGCTCTAGGCTGAAACTTGGCATATAAAGTCTTAGTGCAGGAGCAATTGTGATTTCTCCCTCCTTTACTTTTGCATTTTCTTATACACATGATTCATTCAGTAGATTTTTACTGTCCCCTTTCGGCATTTTAAAAGATTAAATGGTTGGGTTATTAATAGTTCAATATGGACTACTGTGCTGGGGCAGTACATTGATTCACAGTGTCTGTTAACCCAGCTCTGATGGACATAAGTTGCTGTTTCACAGGCATGCTCCAAGGCTTCAGCTTAGTGATAGCATCCTGATGTGGATGACAGTGATTGCTCATTGAGCTGTTGATTAAAGTGGGCTTCAGAGCCAGCCCTGTCCTAGCCTGGAAGGCTATGTGAGTGCACCAAGTGTCCTGATCCAGCATGGGCAGGAGCTGCGTGTGGCTGCAGGCAAAGCTAAAGCCCTGTGGCTCCTGCTCACATACTGACCGTGAAAGGGCCTCCGCAGGATTTGATCTTATCACTTGATTGTGTACAAATATATCACTGTGAGATCTTCTCTTGGGGTGTCTGATGCTACAAGGAGACTTGGTTGAAATCCTCCCATCTCCCTTAGTTTCTTTATTGGAAACTATCTTCAGTGATACCAGTTACTTCCTCATGTTTCATGTAGTTTACAGGAAACTTTGGTACGGAAAAAGCTGTTTAATTTTATTATTCCTAGAAATTATAGAAAAAATACATATTTCAGTATTATGGAAAACATTATAGTAACTTCTATTTTTACTGCATTTTATACTTTTACAGGATATGTAACGTTTGTAGTGTAAAGTCCTTACAACTGAAGGAGGGATAACAGAAATGTATAAATACATGATGTAGATTGCAAAGGTTAAAAATAAGACCTTATAAGAATGAAATGGTTTAAGTGACTTTCTTCCCTTCAAGGACTAATTGTAGACATTTTGTTCTGATCTAGGATTTGGTCACAGTTAAATCACAGTATTTTCTGCAACCCCCCCAAAACCTTGCTGTGCATTGCAGTTTTTACACTAGGCCCTGCGTGCAGGTGTTTGCAAAAACAGATCAAGGTATATATTTACATTAGTATATTAAATAGCAGTAATTCAACAGCAAAATGTCTTCATTATTACAGAACTGAGTCATCTGCTGGACTTTCTTACTCTTTCACTCTTCTACCCACTTAATTTACAAAGGGAGCCTGGAGAAGATCAGTTCTCTGTAGTATCTTTTATGCACTGGAATAGCAGATTATAAATTATTATTGCAAAAGATTTGGCCAGGCACTAAGCAGTCAGCGTGAAGGACTCAAATGTGACAGCAGATTACCTTCCCCCTGTCAGATTTCAAAAGCCTTTTGTCCTTTTAGTCAAGGACACCTGAGCATCTTTATAGTGCCTGCATGTTCTCTGTGGAGTGCTTCAGTTGGACCTGCAATACCAGTGCAACCCGTGCAGGCCAGGCCAGCCTGTTCTTGTGGGACCCAAGCCTCATCTGCTGCTTGTACCTTATCTTAGGTAGTATCCTGCCAGCTGGGATCCACTGTTCTTCACAAGGTTCAATATGTTTTGTTTCATACATTTTCTTTCTAATACATCAGGAATAATTTTGTATCATCGCTTTCTTTGCTTAGCATGGCACACATATTGAAGACACTCAACAGCTGGTTCTGGTGGGAGAATATCTGGATGCCCATCAATGTCACGTGGGCGCATTTTGTAGACCGTGATGGACTTGTCTTTCCAAAAGCACATCAGTTATATGCCACAATTCCATATGCTTTTGTATTGCTGATTATCCGGTTCTTCAGTGAAAGGTAAGAAACATGAACATAATTGTATGCTGATGTTAATCCTTATTATGCTAAAAATATGCAAAAAATATCTTTAGATCAAGGTTCTTACGTTGTTGTAAAGGAGCATTAGTTGGTGGTTTGCTGGAAAAATCACAGGGCAGGTGAAAAATTGGGAAATATTTTCACTAAGAACATGTGGCTGTGGTCCAATTAGAAGGAAAAATGTTTCTATCTAGCTTTTGTAGAACATCTGGATAATTCAATTACCTCCTTTTGCTAGAGATACAATTAATACCGAACCGTTTGGGCTTCCTTTTGCTTTTCTCCTGTGGAGGAAGAGTAAAGGTATTTGTCCTCCTCACCAAACCTCTCCCTTCCTTTGGTCCTCCATCAGAACATTTGTGTGAGGTTGATAGATCCCAGGTGTCTAGCTGTAGCAGAACTAGGCAGGCTGGAGGGATCTCAGAGTTCCATGTGAACATTTTATGCACATCTAGTAATGCTGATTCCTTTTTTCCCTCACTTTGGCACTGAAAGATGGATTGCTTCTGCAGCTGGAATCTTATGGGACAGGCAGAGATGTGCTCCACAGAAGAAAGCTATGAATATGTTAAGATTTGTAGTGTTTTGACTTATTTATTTGTGCCTTTTTTTCTCTAAAGAATGTGATTAGTAGGTTTCTATAATTATTTCAGGATAGAATGAGGAAATTTGGAATGTCCTAAGTTGGACATACTTAAAACAGAAGCAGATAAGATCATTCATGTTAGAGATCAAAAGTAACTTGGATCATATGTTTAGAACCACTCTCAGTGTCTCCTGAGTAAAGGCTTGCCCAAGTGTGTCTCCCTGTGCTGCTGTTGAAAATGGCTTGTGTGAATAATTAGTCCACACATCTGGCCTGTAGTGAGTCTGCCCATGAATGAGGAAAACTGACCACTGCTGTGAGTAATAGAGAATCAATTGCTGATATCAGCAGGAGTGAGGGGGCTATTTTAGAGAAGCCTGCCCAAGTAGAAGAGCAAAGCTTTTGGTGTGCTCTGCAACAATTTCTGTTGGAAAATGAAAGGGGAAGAGAAGCCGTCGGTGTCTGGGGAAATTGTTGCGTGACACAAATTAGAGGCCACGAGCCAAATCCGGCACCTTGGGCAGCGGTAGCCCCATGAAGCAATGTGCTGAGTGACTATCTGCCTCTAGGAGAAAGTATCCCAGTAGCAATCTTTCAGCTCACACAGAGAGAGCATCTGTTCTTAGTTCACTCTCCTGTAACTGTTGCTTAACTCCAATATGCCTCTGGAAAACACAAGGACACAAAAATCAGGATCTTTCCTTGAGTACAGCATTTCATGATGACAAGTTTGAGTCCCTGGGTCTGCTTTTTTTTACATAACTGCTAATATGCTGTGGTTCCCTCTTGGGATTAGCTGAAGGGAGATTCCTTTCTCTCACAGTGCAGTGTTGTATCCTAGGGCAGATTAATTTGCTTCAGATTTATTTTCTTCATATCCTGGCTTGAGAATAGCTAAGGTCTTGTATCTGTGTTGTATTGTAAAAGATTTTCATGGCATGTCTTTTCAGATACATTGCTATACCTCTAGCAAAAGCCTTGGGTATAAAGAATGTAAGACGTGTGAAGCCACAGCCTAATCCTGTTTTAGAGAGTTATTTCCGGGAGTGCTCAAAACATCCATCCCAAGTAAGGATTCTCATTCTTTTAATCTAGTTTTGGTTTTGGAAAATCCCAAGTCTTACTGTTTCAATCAGCTATCAGCAGTGACATCATGGGATGAGTTCCAGCTGATTGACAGATGACTTAATTTATTTGGGTTTGTGTTGCTGTTCTGCTGACAAGGTTATATGGCATCCAAACAGAAAATATGTTGAAGATGTTTAATTTTCTGGTGTGCTGTTCTAGATTTGACTGTTAATAATATTTCCAGTGAAGATCAGTGTCCCGCCTTTAACTCATTCTGCCTGGAGAAAACATCAGCTGACATCTGTTGCTGGAAAGTGGTATCATATTTATTGCAAGCAATAATATTGGATCACTGGAATGGAAGCCTTTTGATCCATTATATTGCTGCATGCTTAATCCTGGATTATGTGAGAAAGAAAAACAATCTTTCTATTACCTTGCTGTTTGTTTTTAAACTGGAACAAGTAAAATCTAATAGCCAATGTTTACCATCCACAAAAATGAAGCAGCGTGATTGTTGATGGGAAACAGGTACTTCACTGGGAATGCAGCCTCAAAATTCACTTACCTACCTACAGTTACAAACAATTGCACACTGGTTTTGAAAATAAATATGTGCTTTCTAGTAATGAGGGATCTTGAGAATTATTGATATGTGGAACCTTGCTTTCTATCCCTAACTCTGCTATTCTCTTACTGTGACTTTTGCCTGATATCATCGGGAATAGATATATTCATCTATTCATCACATATGAGCTCTTCTCTATCTGGGCAAGTATCCCGATCTGTGTTTCATACCTTCCTGCTGCATGAGTACAGTTTGACAATCTCTGAAGGGAAACACAGCATTTTTATGCTCCTCAGTACATGGGAAAGATTCAGGCTGCCTCCTTTAGATGTCCAGCTTGGGGAGCAGCATGCCTGGGAACGCATGCAGAGGCCTGGCTGGCGACTGTCTCCACTGTCTGTCAAAATGCAGTTGGTATTCCTGCATGGCAAGTAGAGAGCTCCCCAGCCAGCAGGATGAGCAGAACACCCAGCAGGATGAGCTGAGCACCCAGGTTGTTTGCACTCCTGCTTTTCCCAGTAGCTGAGTTGCCTTTGCTTACATTCCAGAGCTTCCTTTGAGGGTAGGAGACTAACTGAACTGGACTTACCTTGATGGAGGTGGTGCTGCCACCTGCTATTTGCATACCTGTATACTTGCCAGGAAAGAACTTCCCCAGTGATGAGTTGAACACTACCTGTACTCCTACAGCAGCCCCAAGGCAGGTCAGCCCACACCTTTCACACTTGGGGACGGAGGAGAGAGAGGAAGCCCACAGGCTGCTGCACACTGAGCACCGAGATATGCAAGAGCCATACTACCTTGTGCTTAGCACGTGCTGGCATGGCTGCATGGAACAGAGCTGCTTCAGCTTCAAGAGCCCACATAAAGCAGGAACACCAGACTGTTGGACTTAGATGGCTTAGATGCATTTCCAGGCAATGCTGTAGCCCATGTTTATTTTTAGGTGTCCAAAGGAGGCAGTCTGGATTTTGCTCAGCAAGACTGACTTGCCTGTACCAGAGAAGGACGTTGGATTTGAGAACAGAGCTCAGGTCACCTTAATTTCAGGCCCACGTCTTGCCTGAGGAAATAATTTAAAAATAAAGTAATAATTATAAATAGGTACAATTAGATACAATGTCCACAGGGGTTAATACATGGCACTTCCCTCTCCCTCTTGCTTAGCTGTAAAAGTTGAGTGTTTGAAATTATCAGAAGCCATCAGAAAGATAATAGCAGAGTCTGTGGATCTGAATGTTTCATGCCTGCTTTATTTATACAAATTATGTCTGGAAAATTTGGGTTTCTGTGAGTATCACTCAAAAACTAAAGCAGGAAGCCTGCAAGTAAACCCTCATGAAGAGTTAATATTAGTCATAGTTTTAAATTAAGACCTTACAACAGTGGGAAGCTGATTTGTGACCTACGAAATAAATGAAAATGACATCGGAATGCATCTCATTGCTAACGCTGTTCCATATTTTGCAGTCAGATATTCAAGGACTTGCCAAGAAGTGCAACTGTACCGTCCACTTGGTGGAAAAGTGGTTCAGGAGACGGCGAAACCTGGAGATCCCAACGGTGCTTCGGAAATTCCAGGAAGCTTTGTAAGAAAAAACAATGCTCTTGATGATTATGGGGTTTGCATTAAGGGGGATTCATTTCCAGGAAGCTGGGGCTGTCTGACAAGGGTTTTGATTTGTGCATATGCAAACAGATTGAAAGGATCTAGTAGCGTTTCTCCAAATGATGTAACTTTAAAGGATCAGGTTAATGGTTTCTTCTTAAAAAAAAAAACTTAAAAATACTTTACAGTTTTCTTCCTTGTGTAATAATGGACTTATTTGTAGGCTCCTGCTACATGGTGCTTAATGAAAACATGCAGAGAATAGGGAAATATGTTCATGTCTGGCAGTAATCATATGGGAACAAAAATGCTTACTCCCTCTTGTTTATGTATGTACCCATGGTGTCCTCTTGAGATGCTATTATTTGCATAGAAGAGCAGAAATTGTGGCATCTGAACTAAATGATAGGTGTGAGAGCTTGAACATGGGGTGCTGTGCAAGACATGAGCTCAAATATGCTGCTGAGAGTGGACCATTGAGCAATTTTGAGTGATAATTATGAATATGTATGAAGTTTTAAACCCTCCTGCATATGATTGAAAACTGGAAAAGCATCCAAGAGTCTGATTCTTCACAAATGTGTGAGAACTCCCCCGTACCTAAACATTTTACTATTTAACTATTCCAGTGTTAGCCAAAATCTCATGCAAATTGTAAATCCCCCAGTGGGCATGGCTGGGCTTACATAGCTCATCCCTTTTGGATACTGAAATGATGTAGAATACTGGTGTAAAACACTTTCCTGATGTCCTGTGGGTTTGCATTTTGACTAGTGTAATTTTATTGGCAGAAATTCCCATCATCATCATATTTAACCTTTTAGTGTGATGAGCTTAAGGCACGAGGGTTAAAAGTACAGCTCCAAAGCTCAAAGTTGAGTACTTTATCAGTGTGAATCAATATGATAATGATTTGATGCTGTCCTTTGGTGGGCATAAATCCAGTTGGTACACATAGGTGTGTCTTTCTGAAGCCTGAGTAAACTCTTCTGGTGAACTGACATCCATGGCTTGTTTCTGCTGTTGTTCTGTGGATCAGTTAACTGTGTGTTATGAACGACAACAACATTTCCTGTTCTTGCTAAAAGCCCTAACATGCCACTGATGCATGTCTGTAGTAATACACGCTAAAGAGTGAAATTCAAACTCGCTTGGCAGCTTGAGTGAGGATGAAGCAAACAGGTTTCTCTTGCGCAATTTTGGGAACCTTCCTCTGCTCTCTGTCAGTGAATTTAAATGGATATAATTCTCAAGGCAACAAATGAGGAACAGAGTTATTCCACGCTAGTAGTCAGTGTTCTGGGCATTATGAAATTCATGAAAGCCTGCAATCTCCAGGATCATTTTTCTGAATCACAAGGAAAATCTGATGAGCCACATCTAAACCATACTTAAGCTATTAGTGCTTCCAGTTAAGCAACACTGGGGCTCGGAACGCCCTTTGCATGAAACCTTCCCTGCCTTAAAAGACTTACCAGCCTTTAACTTCACCTACTAAATCCTTCTTTTGCTAGGCTCTGTTCAAGAGAAAAGATTCCTGAAGTTAAATCAGAAAATCCTTTTGCATAGCTGTTGTTCAGTGCTCTCCCTGGTGACCAGGCTTGGAGCTTAAGAGACACTTGGGTAAAATTTGGTGAATTTGGATGAGTTCTACTTCAGGTTTTGTTCACCAAATTCATAAAGAAGCTTGGCTACATGCAAAATGAGGTAGTGCTCTGGCAGCCTTGCACACTGAGTTCATCTGAAGCACTGGGTGTTTATTACCAAGTGTGGTCAATATATATTTGTAGGGCTGGGGACTAATGGCACAGTGTTGTTAGGTGCTCTGTGCTTTGGATCTGGTTCAGAAAACCACTTTACAATCAACACAGAATCGGTCCTGCTATATCCACTGGACTACTCACACCTACATTGCTTGAAACAGGAGGCATGAGGGCAGAATCAACCCCTGTGTAAAGTGTCCCATGCCATGGTGTTGCTTTTCCTGGCATCTCTTGGTTAACTCTGAGCCAGGTATTACTTGTGGGTTCCACTCTCCCCTTCCATTTGCTCTCCTCATTTCCACCATGTACCTTTGAGTTTTTCTGTCTGTGCAGTAGGTGTTCTGAAGGGTTATTTTCAAATCACCTGAGGAAAGATGCTTCAAAGTTGGAAAGGAAACCAGTTATTTATTACCAGTGTATCAAGTGGCAATTTTAGAGTTGTTTTCTTGACTTCTTCCATGGGTGTGAGACACATGATCATGTCTGGCCTCCTCCATTCCATGGTCTCATCTTTTGTTTGTTTGTTTTTCTTGTAAAATGCTGGCTCAGTCTTTAAGCATCTCATTCTTCCACCTGGGATATCAGCCTCCAGGTAATGTAGGGCTCAGAGAGGAGGGACTGCTTTTACCAGGCAGGTTCATGTTGCCAATCTCTCATATGGCACTTCATTAATGTTTGCCAAAGACCCCAATTTCTATACATCTCAATCCGTTTCTACAGTGTTCTTGTGGCATTCTCTCTTCCTTTTTAGGCAGCTTAGGTTTTCTGGGAAGCTGGCTGCTGCTCTTCTCCAGGATATCTCTTGTTCTGTAAAACGCTCTCACTGGGTTTGAGGTCTTTGACCACGGCCTTTCTTAGCATGTGAAGTCCCACAGTGATGTCCCGCTGATCTTGAAGAGTGGCTCTGGGAAAGACCAGGCTTATTCCTGACAAGGGGAAGAGTGAAAAGGAAGAAGTTTTCCATCACCTGTAGAGGTGGGATTGGGAATGCTCCAGCTGAGTCTCTGGCCGCACCCAGTCCTGAGGACAATACCTCCCACACAGGCTCCAGGGTCATTACAACACTGATTGTGCCTCCACATCACAGCATCCTGCTCTGACATATATAAGCAACAACACTGCTCACCAAGATACACAAGAACTTTTTTCCCTTTGACTTACCAGATCAGTAGTGAAAACCTGAAGGTTTTCTCTTTCTGCATATCGATTTAAGCCACAGAGCGCTTAAATCAGGCTAAATGCTGGCAAACCTGCTCAAAGATTGAGGTTTATAGTTTATTCAGACCTCTGTTGTAAGACAGACTAAGCCAGTAGCTTTATCATAGGGCTCCCCTGTTTTCAGCAATTGGTGTTAAGAGAGACCAAAAGAAATTAACCCAGCAACTGAAACAAGACATTGTTGGGGTGTTCACAGTGCTGAATCATATTGGAATGTATGTTCCACACGGCTGAAAGCCCTTCCAGAGTCAGGGAACTGCGAGATGTTGTTCTTGGTATGGATATTGTGGAGGGATTGATGGAGCAGGAAAGTTGGTGTTATCAAACATTGATGTTTAGGGAATTTATTACATTTGCTGTGACTGTTCTCTTGATCAGCTTGTGCCTGGCTGGAAAATTACTGCTGTGACCACAGTCAAGAGATCTGTGTTGTGATAGTATAAAATAATTTACTACCTTAGCAATTAGTTAAAGCTTAATAGTTAAATATTAATCATTCAGATACATTTAATACATGTAAACCCTTAATGCAGAATGTGAGGGCACATTTATGTGAAGATTGTCTGTGATATACAATGATTTGCAGTAATTCTGGCTCAGGACTTCTATGCAAAATATAATCATTCTTCATTCTTTTTCATTTTGATTTTGCAGCTGGCGATTTTCATTCTATCTCACATCCTCCATTGCTGGATTTATATTTCTGTATGATGTAAGTTAATCATTTTAAGGATTGGTATTCTTTCAACAAAACAAGAGCTGGTTTCTAGATCTTCTGGAAGGCCACTGAATGACTCACTTGTTTCAGTGGCTCTTTGGGTTCAGCTCTTTGCTGTATGTAATCTAGATGCAATATGCACTAAGGTTTTACTGAATTCTTCAATTATCTTTTGAACTGGTATGATAAAATACTTTATGAGTAATCAGTGTTTTTAAGGCAAGTTTTAAGAAGTCCCACAGATGGTTTTACAACATGCCTTGTTAACACCTACAAATGCATCACATGGCCATGTTTTTCTCAAAGGAGGCCATAAACCTTTCTTGGCAGCACTACTGGGGGTCACAACAATGGGGTATTTATTGAGGTGTTGCTGCTGAGTCAGAAGTTGGGAATAAGAGAGAGAGTGCTGCTTGTAACTATGTGAGCACTGCCTGGGGTGTCATTAATGCTTCTCCCAAGCAGCGGAACGGTTCTCAGTGTGTCTGCATTCATCTGGCTCTTCTCCCTAAACACTATTTATCATCATGGTGTGTGTGGCTGGTAAACACAGCAAAATCTAATCACTGTGGCAACATATCTTGAGTAATTGCAGTAATAAAACACACACCCACTGCTTCGGATGATGAAATGATGAACTGGAATGTTTCAGGTGTCCTGAAAAGAAGCCAAAAGCTGGGACCAATAGAATAAACCTGAGATGCAAGATCCCTTTAGAAATTGGTGGCGAACAGTTATCAAGACTAGAGCTTCTTAGCCTGCTTCACTTGGAGAAATACTAAGTATTGAATATTTTGAGTTAAGACAAGTTATTGTGACTCAGCTGATCAGTCTCTGTCTCATCTGTCTTCCCAGAAACCGTGGTTTTACGACATCTGGCAGACGTGGGTTGGCTACCCATTTCAGGTGAGGTTTTTGGCATGGGCCATTGGCCTTAAGGCATTCCAGGTTATTTCCCCATTGGAAGGGGTAATATGCAGAAGTGCTTCTCCCTCCCAGCAGGCAGCACCTCAAGAGGTGCATCACCAAAACTCTCCTTTGGTACCTCCTGCAGGACTTGTGTGATCTGCCTGTGCTGCAGCACAGCCCTCAAGCCAGACCACTGTTGTTTCCTCCCACCCCAGGTTATCCGTTGTGTTCAGTACATGCTTTCTGTGTTACTTGTTTTGGTGCAGAAACCCCAAAGCTTCCACCAGGCCTGACAATACTTTGAGGCATTGCAGAACAGCGTCATGCAGAGGGTTATGCCAAGCAGCCTAAGTGCTGTGTGCGTGCTGGGCCCTCTTGCTCAGTGATGCTGGTGGAAGGAGTGCTGCAGTGATTTGGTCTGGCCTAACGTGAATCCCTTCTCTGGGAATCTCTGCTCAATGCTCTGCTTGTTCAAAAGGGTCACGAGGCTTTTGTTTCTTCCTAAAAGACTTTGCTAACAGTCCCATTAATAGATGATCCCAAACAAACTGCTTTCTTGCCCACCTGCCAGAGGTCCTTTTGTGCCCCCCACTCTTATTTTTATGAATTTGTGATCCATCACACACTGCCTGCTTATTCCTGTCCTAGGCAGGGGCCAAGAATAAAAAGAATCCTGAGCCCCAGTTTTCCGGCTTCTCCTACTCATGGGACCTGATAACCAAGCCTACTTCCTGCCACCTGGGGAATGTATTGAACAAGGGAACAGCCAAGCTCAGCATCTAGGCCTAAGCAGATGCCTGGGATTTTAGCATAAATAGCTGACACTTTAGTCATGGACTGTGTGAATGTTTAATATGTTAATTGTTCAGCAAAATGCAGGGCTTGGTTTACTTGCAGTTGTTTGTAATTAAATGCAGAAGCACTCTGCGTGTAGTTCTCTTACAAATGCACACACAAAAAGCATGCTGAATTCAGAGAGGGGAAGGAGGAGCTGCAGAAATTGAGAGTTTGGTCTGAGTAAAGGTTAAAATATTTGGCTCCCAGAGCATCCTTCTTAATGAAGCCCAGAACAGGGATTTAGTTTAGTTTAATTTTTTAAGCAAGACTCAGCAGTGGAGCAAAAGAAGTGAGGAAAGGAAAAACAAAATGATTTCACTTGGCATTTGCTTTCTGCTATTCTCAGTTAACTGTGATTTTCTTCCTTACAGACCCTGCTGCCATCCCAGTATTGGTACTACATGGCTGAAATTAGCTTTTACTGGTCTCTCTTATTTACCCTGGGGATTGACAACAGGAGGAAGGCAAGTGGGCATGCTTGTTTGTAGCTAGAACCTCTGTTTCTGTGAAGGGGGGGAAAAGTGTGTGTAAGGAAAAGCACTGTCCTGACACTGGATTTGGTGCAGCCACATGAGGGCAGCATCAGTCTGTCCCTGGCACACCTGCACACATCCAAGCTCTCCTACCAGGGCATCTCTGAGTGTGACACGTCCTGCTTGCCACTTCATCCGCACGCAGACCTTCGGAGGCTGTACTTGCTTGGCTTTACCTTTGTGTTTTTCTCTCCTTCCCAGGATTTTCTGGCTCATGTCGTTCATCACTTGGCAGCCATTGGGTTGATGAGTGGCTCTTGGTGCGCTAATTACGTGCGTCTGGGGACACTGGTGATGTTTGTGCACGATACTGCAGATTTCTGGCTTGAGGTAACTCTGCTCTCCATCTCTATTTTTTTGTCTTGGGTGTTTTTATTGGTGGGTTTCTGGTTGTTGCCCAGACTACATTCAATGACATTTTAATCTTTCTCCCACAAGTTTCATATGATCTCTTTCTATCCCCACAAAGACACAGCTTCACAGCTTCATGAATTGTGAGATAAAAAAGAGCTTCTGGATAATTTAAACTGATACTCTGTTCAAGAATCCCTTGTGAGAAAAGAGCACAAGAGAAGTTCTGCAGTACAGAACAGGGATTGGAAATACAGTTGCCTCCCTGGATTATTCTTGCTTCACTGTTAAAATTAGTCTAAGTTGGCTAGCCTGGGAACAGCTTGTCATGGTACCAATTCTCAAGCAAATCTAGCAGCCAAAATTTTGGCTACTTCTCCAAATTGGTTTAATTTTGTCAACATTCACACCCTTCTTTTGACCCGAGAGGTACATCTACATTAGACTTCTGGCTGGAGAGACTTAAGCTGTCCCTGAACAAGGTATCGCAGAAGAAATGTTTCTTCCCCTGGACTGAAGGGGAAACTAAATATCAATGGTTAGAAATGTTGAAGACTCAGAAGTGTCTTATTCTGCACACAGCACTGTGGTCATAGAGAGTTGCTGCTGGCTTTCTTAAAAGACAAATGCTCGCTGTTTACTTTAACAGTTATCATGACTTCATAACACCAAGGCTGAGAGCATAGCTTCATCACTTCTGGTGGCAATGCCAGTGTAAACAGTCCTTGTAGGCTGTTTTCGATCACTGTGCAGTTCTGCTGCTGATAGTCTGTCTGTTTTATTGGAACAACTAATTGTGGGGTCACGCAGTTGGGATTGGTCCTGATCAGATGTGTTCATACAGGGTTTTTTGCTTGGTTACTTTTACTCCTGCACTGCTTTGTGTTCCAGTTAACAGTGTGACCTTACAAACAGTTGAGCTGACAACTGGTAGGACAGCACTCAGCTGAAAGCTGAAGTTGGGTACCAGAATAACTTAATTCAGCCCTGCCACTCAAGTAAAAAAACTCCATCAAACTGTTGTTTGAAACCTTAGCTTGGCACCTGGATCTGTGTTCACACTTGAGAGCATCTGTTTTGTTCAGCAGTGCCCAGGATGGTTCCTAAATGAAGCATGAAGAGCTCTGCACAGTTCAGCTGGGGCATAAGCAGCAATTATAATCCTTGTTAGGGGTTAGAGACCAACAGGAGGATCTGCAGTTCACAGTAAGGAGAAAACAGAAGCTGAATTAGGCACAGAGAAGGGTCAGTAACATGCATGCACCAGAATGCCTGTGTGCAAGGGGTCACTGCCGCTCCTCAGCCTGCAGATGTGGCCAGCAGCTTCTCTTTGATTCAGCCTGTTTTGAATCTGGTACAAGAATGAGAGATCACCTCTGTTTTCATGACACTTCTATATTCTGATCCAAGAGCGATTCTTCAGGCCTTTGATACAAAGTCCTCTCCTTTAAGATGAAAGGAGAAATATAAACAAAGAATCTGTTTTGATACTGCTTTATTAGGTATCAGTAAAGTGATTGCCTTACATGTCAAACAGGGAGGACATCTTCCTCCTGCTTAGGTGGAAGATGAGTGTTTATTTATGAAAATGCAGAAAGGAACTTATTTCAGAGAATATTTGTAATGCATTTGATGGTTTCTATTCAATGCAGGCAGCCAAAATGTTTAATTACGCTCACTGGGAGAAAACCTGCAATATGCTCTTTATCATCTTTTCTGTCGTATTCTTCATCACAAGAATCATCCTGTTTCCCTTCTGGTAAGCAGTATTTGATGTAATCACAGGCTTTTATTTCATTCCCATTCCCATTGAGAGGTTAGTATTGGTTGTGATGGGAAAAGAAAAGGAATGGATTGTACTTTAGAGAGCAGGAGCAGAACTTCTATTATTGTTGGCTACTAATGGCCAGCCAGAAGAACTGACAAAACTGATTTTAAAAATCTAAGCTCAGTAAAAATAGTTTCTTAAAAGAGCTTCTTGAAAACAGCTAACCTAAATAGAGGCTCTTATGTATTATTCAAGTTATTTTTGTGAGTTGTAGTTAAGTGCTCTGAGCGCCTGCATTTTCAAGAGGATTGAGCTACTTAACTAGGAGAAATAATTTCCCCCTTTCATTCTATCCCTCCTGCTGTAAGTGCAGAGGCAGAGCCCAGTGTAATTCCTGTATAATTGTAGTTAATTTTTTGTAGAGCCTTCGTTTTGCTACCTGGTTTTGGGTAGAGCCACTCTCTCAAGCGAGGAGCATTCAGAAAAGTTAAGGTGAACCAATTAATTTATGAAGTCAACACAAGTAAATCATAGCTTGCTAAACCCTTGCATGACTTTGGAGTACTGTGATTTAGTCTGCTTTGGAGTATCCACATGGGTGCTTAGAGTGCTTAATGCTTAACATGTTTAGCTTTTAAAAGCTATTTAATGTGTTTCACATTCATGGTTTCCTTGACTTGCTCTAGTTCGCATTCATGCTTCTCCCCCAATGTGGACAAACCCTCAGAGACTCAAGCTGGTTAAATTAATAGTTCTGAATACTGATCAACAGAAGGTTTTAATTTCCTGTAGTATTTTCTTTCAGAAATGCTGATGCCTTTTGCTTTATTGTTATTTTTTTATTAACTATACAAGTGATCTCCAATCATTTTGCTTCACTGAGTTTCTTGTTCTTGAGTTCTTGAGCTTGGAAGCAAATCATTACGAGATTAAAGGCACTCAAAAAGCCCCAAAGAATATAGAAGTAGTGAAGTCTGAAGATGAACAAAACATATGTTAATTAACAAAAAGCCCTGTTGTAAAGCCTGTAGGATTTTCTCTGGAGTGTGGATTTCAGATTAGAAAGACTTTGTATTAAAAATAAGGCATAGGAAAGCTCTCAGTTGCATAGTATCTAGACCACACAGAGATCAAGAGCTGGAAAAATAGGATTGTTTTCTAACCTTGTTTAGAATACTTTTGTGCAAGACTCCAATTTCTCACCTTCTGAAGTCTGTGTTTCAAAAGAGATGCATAATCTAGTTCAATAGAGATGCATAATCTAGTTAAGACAGAGCTTGTTAATGAATGTCATCTCTGCAGAGCTTTTTCATATTTGTGGAAATAATTAATCAGTTTGGAATGTGAAATTATAAATAGCTGTAAACAGCACAGAGATGAAATCTTGCACCCTAATGCTGACCTTTATTTCTCAGGATTCTTCGTGCCACGTTGTATCAGCCCACGTTCTACTCCACAACTCCTGTCATAGCATATTTTCTGTTCAATGGGCAGCTGTTGATCCTACAAGGCTTGCATTTATACTGGGGTTACTTAATTCTCAAGATTTTGAAAAGGTTCATTTTCTTAAAGGTAAGCAGTTTACTCCTGCAGAAAAAACATGTGAAGTATCAAAGGTGCCAATACCTCCAAGACATTTACTTGGAATTTCTTACTGTTTTCCTGAGCTTTCATGCCATCATTTTTGACAGGGATCTTCAAGGTATAGAGCTGTTCAAATGTACTTTCTACCTACACCTAAAGTTGTGGATCAGAATATCAAAGCTTCTGCTAAAACTGTTTTTTGCCTGTATCTGATGTTTTGCTCTGATTGTAAATGAGAAATGATCGCTCCCAAAAACTGAAGCCCTGAGATGGTGCAGAACTCTTTAGAAGTTCTTGTGTTCTGAGTGAAAGCAATCTTTTGTCACTGGACTTTGTAGGAACATACCAAAAGAGGAGAGGCTTAAGCATTGACGGCTATGTTTTGCTAGTAAAGGGGAAACCTAAGTTGTGCTATTGAAAAATGGCATTTCTTTTGAGGCTCAAGATGCAAAGCCTTAATTGAGCCAACTCTGTCCTTTTATCTGAGGCAGTTAATGCTGTGAAGCATCTTAAGGAAATAGAAATGTTCCTTCTGACACACATTTAATTGTTGTTTGACTGGTAACAGAAACCATCCTGTAATTACTGGATTTCTTCAAATCTGATGGAAACAGACAGCTGGATATCATAGGGAGCCCCAATGTCTTGCCTAGAAGAAAACTGCAGTTACAAACTCTACCCCTGTTAGACAGCAAACAGCTGTACATAAGGGACAAATCTGCAGAAGAAATGGATTGTGTTGTTCTGCTCCTATAACATGCTTCTGTGTTCCCTTAGCTACTGGGAAGCTTGTATTTCTTGTGTGTTACTTACCTCTGTTAGATTAATTACACAGTTATTTCTGGCCTGCTTTATTAAGTGTTAAAATGTTTTACTTCTCATTTTCTTCTTTCTGGCCTTGTCTCTGTGCTGTTCTCACACAACTCTCCTGATGAAATCAAGAGGGACATCCCACTGCCTTGAAGCAGAGGAAGAGAAAGGCTTTCCCATAACTCTCCATTCACTTAGTTGAGGTTATGAGAGTACAGTGCAAGGTCTTCAGATGCAGTGGGGAAGAGGATGTTACTTGACCAACTATATAAGGCCATTCTGCCCTGCCTGCTTAGATGCCTTTGTAAGGGGCAGAAATGTTTTATTTTGAGATAACAACTTTTTTGTGTTAGTCATTGCTAAAAAATGGGCAAGCACCGAGCCTGCATCCCTACCATGGATTTTTGATTCCTTATAGAGCTCTGGGAGAAGACTGTTTCCAAATAACATTTTACAGTGGTAGCAGCAGCAGCCCTAGCCCTTTTCAGTCCCTATGACTTCAGCTGGCTTGCATGTGCAGCCTGTTTTCCATAGCGGTGGCAAACTTGGCTGTGAAAGCAGCCAGTGCCTCCAAAGCTGTAAAGGCAACGTTGCAAAGAATGGTGTTTGCAAGGCGGCGTTTTTATACCAACATATTTGTTATAGACAGACTCCACACAAAGAGCGTTGCTATTTCAGTGAAATACCAGTAAACCATCATCCTTGTACTAGAAGGGGTTTGTTTCTCTGCCCAAGACTTTTAAAGTTTTCATTCAGAAAACGGGCAATTTTGGACATTTTTCTTGAAGCAGCAGTTAGCTACTTCAGATGGAAAAATGAAGTCATGATGTAACTGGGAACAGGGATTGATGTTGTTGTTGAGCTGAAGGAAGCTCTGAGCATAGCAAGGGTGTAAGGAATGTTTTTAGTGCCCTCTGTGCCTTGAGCCACTCTGGGTTGATGGGGTCACAACTGAAAACTACTGTAGTGCAGTAGTAAACAGCTCCTAACATCCATCCAGCAGCAGGTGTCTCCCATGATTGTATCCTTCTGGACCATGTCATTGCACTGTTTGAAAGTCAGTGGCCTCGAATGTATTTATTCTCAGCAGGAAATGCTGTTGTCCCCTGTCAAAAGGCAGGTTAAAGGGCTTGTCTGGGTCAGAAATGAAAGGTGGGAATCTGTAGGGAATGTAAACAGGAGGGCCTAAGTCTTCAGGATGTCACGCACCCCCTAGGTCCTCTTTGGTGTTATTTGAAGGGTCACACAGAGCTATGTCACCTCTTACTTAGAGCTGTGGGTCTAGATTCAATACTCTGATCTCTAGGCTGTGGCAGAGGCTTTATTAAAGGCAGGAGTTAATACAGAAATGCCATCAAGTACTGCAGCCTCCTGAGTTAGTAGCTTCTTCCATGCTTTATTCTTCCCTCTTGGGAAAAGATGGCTTTTGCCTGAGATTGGCTGGTCAGCAGCTCTTTATCTCAGATGTCACCTCCCCTCTGCACTAATAAAGGGGACAGTTATCATTCCTCAGGGGTCACTGCTCGGCTGGCTGACTTGCTTCAGCAAAAAAGAACTTGGACTAAAACTCTTGCTATTTCCCTCCTCCCAAATGCTGCAGCCAGAGATGAATAAAACTGAGGAAGAAAGAAAGGAAGGAGGAGAGATGATCTTGTTCTGTTCCTCTATGCCCTATTTTCTCAGGCATGGGAGTCTGGCACCAGAGCTGGTAGCACAGAGCATCACTGGTCTCCAGGCTCATGGGATCTGTGCCACCTTTCCCTGGGCCCAATCCTCCAGAAATGCCCCAGTGAGGGGGCATTCTGCATGAACAAGCAAAGTTGTACTCAGCTACTTTGCATTAAAAAGCTTCTTATTTTGTCTGGGGATAGGAGAGGACAGGAGTATTGGACTACAAGGATGCTGGAGGGGGACTCTTCATCAGGTACTGTAGTGATAGGACAAGGGGTAATGGGTTTGAAGTGAAAGAGGGGAAGTTCAAGTTAGATATAAGGCAGAAGTTCTTTACTGTGAGGGTGGTGAGGCACTGGAATGGGTTGCCAAAGAAGTGGTAAATGCCACTTCCCTGGCATGTTTCAAGGCCAGGTTGGACAGAGCCTTGGGCGACATCTACTGTGAGGGGTTGGAACTGGGTTATCTTAAGGTCCAACCCAGACCAGTCTGTGATTCTATGGTCCTATTACATTTTTCAAATCAAAGATTTATTCTTACTTGTGGAAAATATAAAAATACCTCCAAAGGAACCCCAGTGTCCTTTTCCATATGACATCTTGTGACCCTGTATGCGAGCAAGGCTGTTGCTCATATATATGAACTCTCAAGTATATGAGAAAAGGCCTAAAGGTCAGACCTGTAGCCGTGTATCTTAGATAAGCCCTGCTGTGAGAGGAAGGACGTTCTTCAGTGCAATTTCTATTCAGGTTAGGTCAGGCAATCGCAATGCTCGCTGCTGCTGCCATCTTGATGTCCAAGGCCTTTTGTTGCTAGGAGACTCCGTGTGTTTTCTGTAATATTGTTCAATTACATGGTTAAATTACCCACTTGTATCGAGTTTCAAGCACCACTGAAACATGTCTAGTCATCATGTCTGCACATATGAGAATATTTTAGGAAAATTGAAAAAACATACAGAGAAGTATGTACATGTGCACTGATTTAAAAATCTCTCGCCAGGAAAATCCCATAGAGATTAAACATTTTATTTCCAAGGTCAGAAAAAGGGAGAAAGTGACAGCAGCTTAGAGCCACATTGTTATGGCAAATTAAGATGTAAAATAGATGTTAAAGCCATTACACACTGAGTTAAAGTTTTGAGACTATGGTTCTTTAAATCTTGAATAATAAGTGTAAGTTGTAGGAAATGGGCATGATGTCCACATGACTCAGGTACTTCAGGGCTGAGGCAGAGTCCAGCAGTGGCAGAAGGTAATGGCAGGTTTTTAATGGACTGTAATGTGACCAGGAATATGTTTTGTTTCTCTTTTAATTGTTTTGTCACTACCAGACTGTCCTCAAGTAAGCTTCTCACTAATGGTCACTATTAGTTAGGAGTCACCAGCTGCAGTTTCATTTGATTCACCATGGTTCTTTCCCCTTCCTGAAGCACAGAAGACTGAAGTGTTGTAGAGCAGGCTTTTGGACTTGTCACTCTAAAAAAATAAGCTGGTGGCACCTATGTATCTACAATATTCTTTAGGTATTCTGCGCTCAGTGAGCAAGCTTTTAAAGAGTTTGGTTGGGCATACCCTTATCCGTGGTTTGTTCACTCCTTACTTGGTTCAAATTCCCAAGGGAACAGAGACAAAGAATGATGGATGACAGAGTAGGGGTAGCTGAAAATGAAAAGACTATTTTGGGGTTGAAATGAGAGCTGTGCAATACTTACGGTACTTCTGCTGTTCCCAGCCATCGTTATTCTACTTCAGCGTGTTGTTCTGTCTGAGGATTGCTCAAACTGAGACATCTCTGCCAGTTCCAGTTGACTTTCTTTCCTTCATTCTTTCTTACATACTGATACTGGGATGCCAGTAGAGTTGTTGCCATGGAAAGTGGTTAGTCACATAAAGACTCCTTGAATCAGTTGCTCCCTTTTCTATACTGAAAGAAGATTTACTACTAAAACTCCATCCCTAAATGTGTGCCCATTACTAGAATGCTTGATGTGTTGTAATAGCAATGTGTAGGCAAGGCCAGAAAGTCCTTTGGAGTATAGGCATCACATGCTCTTATAAAACATGCCCTCACTACTTACACTGCGGAATAATGATTCTCTACACCTGCAGAAGTGCTGGCCTATGTTACTTTCTGTCTTTCTTGCTGTGAATTTCTCTCTTTAGAGAATTCCTATAACCCTTTGTGTCGGTTTTTAAGTGAAGTTATACAGTTCCCAAAGGCCAAACTACCTGCTCCTGACAGATGCCTTTGGCTGAGGTTAATCTGAGGCTCTTCAGAATCCCCTCAGCTTCTGCAGAACTCTCCTTGCCTGGGATCCTCCTATTATTTATCTTCTTAAGTTTTGGCATGTGATCTGTTTGCATCAGGCAGAGCTTTTATTGTTAATAGTTCATTTGAATCTCTTATTTTCTAAGCACATGTTTCCTGGGAGTGCGGAATCTCAGTGCTGAACTTGGGTGAGAATTTTCTTGTTCACAAAACACAGACCCACAGCAATGGGGTTT